TCCGTGGCGGGCACACGCGTCGGCTCTCTGCCCACGCACACTTGATGCTCTCTGGCTCCTGGGCAGCGCCCACGCAGCGACTGCGCGCACGCAGCCGCTCCCTGACTGCCGGCACCCTCGGCCGCGCTTGCAGTGCTTAGGCGCGCACTTCTCGAGAAGACGCAGCTGGGGAAGAAGGGTGGAGAGCTGCCTGCCGGGCAGGTGCCTTGCAGTGCCCCTAACGCTGGAACTCACCCTGCTCTCCTGATTCCTGGCTCTGGGGCTAGACAGAGCCGCCACCCAGGCCGCCAGCCCCCTGGGCGGAGGGGCCCCCCAGACCTGGTGGGTCAGGGCTGGAGGGTGAGCCGCTGTGCTGCGCCCTGGACACCAGCAAGGAGCCAACACTTCCACGGTCCTAAGGGGTACTGGACGTCCGGCCTAGCGAGTAGAAGAGACAGAAGCTGCGGGGCGGGGGGACATGTTTGTCCCCTTCACGGAACCTCCCGACTCAGACCAGTACTAGAAGCGTCCAATATAGTAGCTCCTGGATCAAGACTTGATGCTCATTCTCTCCCCCTGCCCATTCCAATGGGACGGGCCAGCGGCGCGGCCGTGTGTGGGGCTGCGGGTCAGAGATGCTTCTGTGCTGGGGTCATTCGGTAATTCAGTCAACAAACATCCACGAGCTAGCCAGGAACTAGGCGTCATTCTTGACACCTCCCTTTCCCTCACAGCCCACATTAAAATACACCTCCATTTCCTGTAAAGCCTCTTTCCCTAAGTAGTTTTTTACCAATCCACCATTCCTGTTTCCACCATCCTCTCTTGGGCTCCCACTCTAGTAGCTTCTGTCTGTCTGGCTTTGCTGCACCCTTGTGGTCCTACTACATTCCACTCCCCACGATGCAGTCAGCTGTCATTTCTCAAGTCTGATGTGCCACCCTTTGCTCAAATCCCGCCGTAGTTGAGAGTAGAATCCAAGCGCTGATACTGTATCTGAAGGAAGCCTGGGAGAAATGAATGTGATAGGCAGAGAAGAGGGGGAAGGGTGTGTGCAAAGGGCTGGATAAAAGTGTGAAAGTTCTGGTCACGTCCAGGTTTTCCTGTCGGGGAACAGCACTTTACAAGTGCCTGATGTGCTAGTAGGGAGATCTCGTCGAGCTGCAATACAAATACCGCCTCCCCACTATTGAACAAGTGTGGACACTAGTGTGGGAGGCAAGAGAGGTGGTTAGGATCCTCTCTTGGTTATATCCCGGGCTATAAACGCACTTGCAGTCTAAGCGACCCTGGTAAACACTTCTCTGATCCTGATTTCCTTGCCTATGAACAAAGAATAATCTTTATCTCTTATGGGATACTTCAAACAAAATGCTTAGTGCAGGACTTGAGCACTTTGAGGATGCTCAGTAATTACCTGTTTTGATTCTAATGGGTTCTGGGAAAGGGAAGGAAATGCTCTCTGCCGCAAATTTCTGAGATTATAGGAAGGGAGCCCTAACTGTTAACACTTCTGCTGAGTTTATTATGTGCCAGTTACTATTTTAAGTGCTTTACATCTATTAACTCTTTTGCTCTTCTAAACATGTCTATGAGGTAAGTGCTATTATTCCCACTTTACAGATTAGAACCTGAGAGATAAGAGAATTTGTCCAAGGTCCTGCAGCTAGTGGGTGGCAGAGCTGGGATTTGAACCCTGGTAGGGTACCTACCTCCAGAGACTGCTTCTAACTACTACTCCCAGACTGTTCCCTCTTTACTAAGTTGTGATGTCCATCTTCCAGGAAGTATTTTAGTAATTTTGATTATTGTTTTTCATTAGTATATGGATAGGTATTTGGGTCCCCCTGCTTTTTTTTCTTTTTCTTTCTTTACTGGGAATCAAATCCAAGGCCTTCACACTGCTACCTCCCCAGCCTTTTTATTTATTTATTTATTTTTTGAGACAGGGTCTTGCTAAGTCACTAATTTGCCCAGGATAGGCTCAAAATTTCCATCCTTCTGCCTCAGCCTCTGAGTGCTAAGATTACAGGTGTGGGTCCTCATCCCAGCTTTGGTCCCTTTTTCTAGCACAGAAGAATAAGGCCAAACCAGGGGTAGAGTAGATAGATCCCACCTATCTTCCCCATTTTCAGACTTTTCACTGGGACCAGGACTCTCTAGACTATTTTGAACCCAAGATAATGAAAAATGAGGAACCTCTGTCCCTTCTCTTTGCCTGATATCCGCCCCAAGAATGGTTGGCGTGTCCTGGATGAAGTGGTTCATACCTGAAATTCCAGTACTCAGGAGGCTGAGGCAGAAGGATTGCCATGAGTTTGAGGCCAGCCTGAACTACATAGCAAGTCCCTGTCTCAGAAAGAATGGGGGTGGGAAGATGGATTCCAAGCTGAAAATAATTTAGAGGACTAAACCATAATGATGTTACCCAAGAAAAAGAGGCAGCAGTTGAGGAGGGGGATGGCCAAAGAAGTTAAAAAAAAAAAAAGCAGTGAAAAAGTTCCTGGTGAGACACTTCTCTCTTCCAGCTAGGATACAAAAAATTGGGAAAAGCATAACTATCACACTAATAACTTTTTTTTTTTTTTGGTTTTGTTGAAGACAGGATCTTGCTATGTAGTTCAGGCTAGCCTTGAATTCACTTTGTATTGCCCAGGCTGACCTTGAACTTGCAGCAATCCTCTTACCTCAGCCTCCCAAGTGCTTGGTTACAGGTATGTGCCACTACACCCAGGTACTAATAATACTTTTTAAAAGTTTCTGGGTAATATATAAAATCATAACTTTTGCCAAATGCATCAGAGAGCTGAGAAACCAATTAAGCTGAATTCCAAAGAAGGACAGGGCCTCCAGTAAGAAAAGGGATGTAGGAACTGGCTCACTTGAGAAATAGAACTAATATGAATTGTCCATGCAGGATGGTAAGAAGAGTTTAGCTACAATTTGTATTGAATTGCTAGAGGCCCGTTGCTATGGTTTAGATATAAAATGGTCTCTAAAGCCTCATTGTCTTTGGAAGATGATTGGATTTTGGGGTCACTGGAGCTGACTTGAGGTTAGGAAAATGTGGGTCACTGGGGGCGCGGTCTGGGAAGCATCTGCTCCGATCCTGCTCCTCCCTCTCCCTCCCAGCAA